ACAAGATGGTTGGACAGTGTTCTCGAAGCTACAAACATGAGTCTGACCAAACTGCGGGAGGCAGTGGAAGACAGGAGTGCCTGGCGTGCTCTGGTCCATGGGGTCACGAAGAGTTGGACACGACTAAACGACAACAACTGTCAGCCCAGAGGGTGGGGGTGTTTAACAGCACGTGTTCAATTTGCTGATAGGGTGCTTTGACCAGGCCTACCCAGAGACATTTCACACCTGGGGAATACAATTTAAATTGTACCCCAACTTCTACTACTGTAAGTAGTATGGTGCATGAGCCACTGGGAAGTTCTCCTGCATAAGTTCCATGTTAATTAACAGGAGCTGTTCTCGTGCATACCTCCTGGTCATTTTCCAACAAGGCTTCTGCGTGTTGAGCCATGGTAGATTGTGCTCCATGGGTCTACAAATAGTGCCCCATCACACATTTGCTACCTGGGCAGTTCATCTCATGGTAAGGACCACCTCTGTCTCTGTCCTACTGAGACATGCTATGGGCTTCATCAGAAGCTGCAATTTTTGAACTGGTTCATCCATGCTAAAATCCCCCCAAGGGGCGCAACCCCCTGGTTCTAGCCATTTAAAGTAACAAGGAGGTGGTAGCACACTCTCTTCCCAGCAGCAATTTGTGCAAGTGCAGTGGATCAAAACATGCTCACATGAATCGCCACCTGGAAGCTGCATGACCCCATGGCCTTGTGTTCCTTCCTCCTCCATATGCAGGCACATCCCCTGAGCTTTTACCACGTTAGAGATCTTAGCAGTGTCGAATCAAGCCAGAACTGCTGAATTCCTTTGGGATGGTAATGCTGTATCCTTCAACTATATGAACCTTCTTGTTGGTTAATATCACAGATTAATTCCCATGAGTGAACTGGTTTCCATCTGGGCCATGTATATCATTTCCCATGATGCCATGAATGGCAATCCTTCAAACCAGTTCCAAAGCTGAAACTTTTCTATGGAGGATTAATCATCAGCTGGTTTGAACTCCTTGACTGACAACACCTATTGCACGTACATTGTGGGCTTGTTTTTCTTTTCTCCCATTTAAGTTTTAAGGCCCTGTTTTCCAAAGAATAAACTTGGAATTGAGGGGGTTTCATTTCTAGTGGAAAACAACTTGATAGGCGTAGAATATCTGGTACCATGAATTTATTCAACCTTTATTTTTGTAGCAGATCCAAATGGTCATAAAATGTCGCTAGAGCTTGGCTCCCAAGAATGCTGTTTAATGCCCCAAACACTGAGACTTCAGGACTCCATACTCATTTTTGTCTAGGATTGCTGACCTACACTGCTCAAGGGTAAGTGACAGGATGTGACAGTAGCAAAACACATTCCTCATTCTCAGTGTTGTCCATAAGGTAGAATTGGCCATGCTGTACTTGGTTTCAAACCCCATCTCAAGTCATAGGCCAGCTAACTGACCTGAGCTAGTTAGTCACTATCTCTTGGCCTCTGTCCACTATCTGCAAAATGGGAATAATAATGGCTTGCTAACACACTTTGCATATTAAAATATACCTTGTTGATAATCAGAAGCTTCACATTGTCCTATCCCAGTTCTGCATTCCCGTTCCTAGTTTCATGTCCTTTCACTTGAATCCTGCATTTCCTTAGACACTATTATGCTCCCCTTTTAAACCATCTTAGGCTGCAGTCCTGTGCACACATACCTGAGAATAAGCCCCATGGAATAAAATATAATTTTGAGTAAACACGTAAAGGATTGTGTGGATGCTTTCACCTACTCCAGATGCAATCCTATGCTTGCTTAATAAGTAGGGGAGGCATTCTTCCGAGTAGAACCGTATGGAATTACGGGTGGCAATCTACATTTCATATTCTGGTTCCATCTATTTATCTTTTTTCTTATTTAGACCTGAAACCCAGTAATTACACTTGCCTGGCTTCCAGTTCCTGTTTTTGCTGACAAAACCCATTTGGGTTTTGATATCTGCTTGGCAGCCTCATTGACCTGGTGCAAATTCAAACTTGTAGCTGCAGGATTCCTGTCTCTGGGACCTAAGCCAGAACGCACACAGAGGGATGTTGGTTTACTTCTGACTGCTTATTGAAAGCAATTTTTCCTCTACACTATGACCAAATGTATTTAATTGCAAAATGAATAGCAACTAAGCTAATGGAAAGGTCAGCTGTCACGCTGCTTTGCGTTGTTATTTAGCTGACCTGGGCTCACTTGCTCTAGTTGGTTTCTTGCTCCCTGAACTATGCGGGTCCACTGGGGAGGAGCGACCAGTTTGCCAGAGGAGGAAAAAGAGTGCCTTGCATCATTCAGCTGCAGTCCTCCACTTCATTAAAGAGCAGCAATGACAGACTGCCAGCACTGCTCTTTAATCAGGCAGGAGGAAGCCTAGATGAAGTATGAGAGCTAAATCAAAGCAAGGAGAGAGAAAAATCAGGCGTATCTCTGCATATGAGCAGAGAGATAAGGAGAAATCAGAATTATGCCCATCTTATCTCTTTGACAGCTTAGAGCTTCAATAATAGAATAATTGTGAGTTTTGCACTTTTAGAAATTAGTTATGTACTTACTAACATCTCTGTCCCCAGAACCTGGAACTGTGAACTCACCAAAATAGGTGCTGAATGTGTTTTGCGGCTAGGTACATTAATATAAGGGTTGTGCAAAACATTCAGGTAGCAAATATTTTCAGTGCAAAAGGGTTTCCACCCCCCCCCCAGAGGTCCAAAATGTTCACCAAGCTCTTCCCACAGAGTTTAGCTTTCTTACACCAGATTAAAGCTGCCAAGAAAGGCATTAGTTGGCTATTTAAAAAGAAAGAAAAAAACAGGACAAAAACAAAAGTGAGGTTTTCTGTTTTCAGCCAATTAGCAATCACAAAGCTGGTGTGAGGATATCACAGTTCCTCACGGTCTCATCGTAATTCAGTGCAGGGCTTTCTGTGTGGTTGGCCTTGCTCTGTGGAATGGCATTCCTGCAAGGATATGTTCGGCATCCACTATCTACACTTTCCAGAAGCAGCTGGAGCCATTTTTGTTCTGACAAGCCTTCCCAGCTGAATGAACAGGTCTCTGCCATGAGGCAAAAGTCCTGGTATCGCTAAAGGTTAAAACATGTACTATGTGCATAGCAAACAGGCAAAATCAGCTGTACTGGGGTGGGCAGGGGAACACCAGGGTGGATTGGACTTTCAGCTGCACAGAAAATTGACTGAGCCATCATCACATTGCTCTCCCTAAGAATAGGGAGAAAAGGAAATCCGTCCCTGTTGCTAAAACCAATATATTCGCTACCTGTCTTATGACTCTACCATGATGGTTTCATTACCTGCCGGCAAAGCAAGGCGAGTCACAGAGCATCAGCCTAATTGCCTTGTCAAGAGGAACACACTCCTTTTTCTCCCCAATGCCCCTACACAACGGGTGAACACGTCGCCTTCTGTAGTGCCCATCAAAAGACTGACAGAAGGGAAGCACTTCTCGCAAGGTCTTGTGAAAAGGTTTATGAAAGCCTGCCCCATTTTGGCTCATCCTTAAGGAATGTTCTCTCTTGCCCACTGCATCTCTCATTGTTTACAACTCAGGACTTACTCATCCACACCTGATCTTTATTCCTCATATATTTAGCTGAATGTAAACCGTCTACCCACAATTACATAGTGGTCACGATCAGAGGATACACACCTGGCTCATTCCAGAAAGTTTCACATAAACATAAGAAGAGTAATTTGTTGCCCGAGTTTGCGATGAGAGGTAATTTCACTTATGCCTACTTGAAATAGATCTTGTCTGGCCATAGGCACTGTCCACTCTGCCAAGCACATATAGAAACCCTGGCATTGTACGCAATCACTTATCCAAGAATAAGAGAAAGAAGTCTTGCCCAGGATTGCTGACTCTTTTAAACACACTTCTTCCTCTAATTGCTCCCTTGATTAAGTCAGCAAGTTGGGGACTAAGGCTCCTTCCAGCCTGTCACTGTCTTCTGGTGGGATTCAATCATTTACTGGCAAGTTTAGGTTGCACAATTATAGATAATTGGAGGTCTTGTAAAAACAAACCCACTTCCCCCAAAGATCCGACTTTTGTAGTAAGTAAAATGGCAGAAAAATGTACTGAAAAGTGTGGAATAATACTTGCTTTGACAAAACATTGTCTAACCTCTCTGTAAACAAATCACAATGGCTGCTTATTAAATAGACAATGGTGTCTAATTTTCCTGCAAACAAATCAGGATGAATGCTGAGTTCAGGAATTTTTATCACATATAACTGATGGTATAAAAAAGGCTCTCCTTAGCAATACAAATGCCAGGGGTTTGCGAGAGTGGTCCACAAGTTTCATTCAGGTAATATGTGGCGGAGATTCTAATTTTTACAAAAACACTGTAGCATCTAACACAGTACATTACAATAGCTAAACAACAGGCAGGCAAATCATTATGTGCCAAGACCCTCAGCACAAGATGCAATTAAAAATGAAGATTTTATTTTAAAAGTTCATTAATAGAGTTGTGCAAAATTACAAGAAAGCAAGAAGGCTGTAGATGCAGCCAACTTTAATTAAGACTTAAATCTAATCAAACCTTCATGATATATTATTTTTGTTACTAGGGAGCCATTCAGCCTGACTCAACATTTGTCAAAGGTGAAAATGTTCAGACCTCAGAAAATTCAACACACACAAACATTTCAATTTCTGAGGAAGTCACCAATGAAAAGCAGTGGAGCTGGGAGAGAGATTATGGAGCTGGGCCTTTTAGAGTTACTGACTTGAACATTGTGGTTAACTTTTTAACGATTCGGTGAGAGAAGGTTTTATAATTTAAAGTGGCGGGAAGCACATTCGTGTATTTCTGACTCAAGTGAAATTTTGTCTGAAAAGAGATGGATTGTAGACAAGTTAGTCTGTTGCGAGAAAAACAACAACAGGTCTTGTAGTTCCTTAAACACTAGCAAATTTATAAATGGCATAAAAAGTTTTAATGGACTAGGGCCTACCTCATCACATGCATGAAGTGTTATCCTCAGATAATGCTAGTAATCTGGAAGACCAGAAGAGGAAGCCATGTGTACAAGTTCTCCCGGGTGCAGAGCCTCTGTATCTTCTCTCGTTTGTCTTGGAGCATCAGTTTAAAAGGCTAAAAGTAAAAGGAGGCAGCTAGAAGTTCTGTCAGGATCACGTGAACTGAATAGGTAATGGCATCTCAGCACAAGATCTGAATCAAGAAGCAGAGTGCCAGTTTTTGTAGCTTATGCAACAGCTTATCCCAGGAGGGGAAAGCCATGCATTTATTATGGCATTCCTTGAAGAGATTTTTCCGTTTTTCAAATGAATGGTCTTGAACAGTTCATTTCACAAAACATTAGCAAAGAGAGATTTTGGAGAAATTCCATTGCTCTGCTTTAAAAATTGCAGCGTGGGCTCCAGGGTTCAGAAACTTATTTTTCATTTTGGAAGGAAATTAGAGAGTTGCAAGCCATGGGAACCAGCAGGTCGGTGGAGGAAACACTTTTAGCACATAAATTCTAACACAATGTTGGTAAATTATTATTTATTTATGAATTGACTTTTACACGTATCTCAAGGTGATATACATACACACCATGAAAGCAGCTAAAATAACCATTAACTGTAAATAACAATTAGCATTATCCTTATTGGCTGAAATGCATATAGTTGGAATCATTCAGGTTTTAGTTACAAAATGAATGACATCATTAGGAGTTGGACGCAAATATATTTGCCTATTGGTTAAAATGATTTGATTTTTATAAAAGGTAGAATAGGATTGATTTCTTACCTTTTACAATAGCTTCAATTAGAACACTGGCTGCATTTGGCTGTAACACTAAACCATGGTTTAGTGCAGCCTTCCTCAACCTGGTGCCCATCATTCCTGATCACTGGCCATTGCTAGTAATAATAATAAATAAAAACAAAAATGTGCACCCTACCCCTGAGACCATTCCATTGTAACTTTCCAACCTCCCAAAATTTCAACACCTCTTGCGATGGTTTGACCCCTTTCCGTTTTAACAGTACAAATTCTACAAATACCCTCCATATCTCCTCAAAATCATTTCTCCTGCATATTCCCTGTCTTACCTTAATAGCACATTAATTTACCATTAATAGCTATATCCCACACCTCTTTATACCATTCTTCCATTTAATATTCACCTTGCCCCTTCCACTTCCTAGCTATAATAACTCGTGCAGCCATCAATAAATTTGTGAGCATTTCCTTCATAGCCTGCAAACCTTCCATCCCATCATAAATGGATAATAATGCTACCTCTGGTCTTTTGGTCAGCTTTAACCCAGTGATTCCTGTTATCTCCTTAAACACCCTTTGCAAAAAAAAAATTGTACATATTTACACCTCCACCACATGTGAACGTAAGTCCCAATTTCCTGGCGTCCCCTCCAACGTAACACCGAGTATTCCTTGTTTGCTCAAATCAAATCTTCAAATATCTTAAGGTCTGTCACATGGAAGATGGTGCAAGCTTGTTTTCTCCTTGCTCTGGAGGGTAGAACCAGAACTGTGATGGCCTGGGAATCCGATTCAGAGAGTGAACTGGAGGAATCCCAGCCTGCACAGGAGTCCCCACCTCCAGGGCCGGCTGAACTGGGGCAGGGCCTTGATTCTGAGGAGCCTGCACCTGTGCCGGATCCTCAGGAGCAGGCACCAGGTTAATCCATTCTGGCTCCAGAGGTGGTTGAGGACTCAGTGCCTACAGGTGAGTCTCCCCCTGGGCCCAGTAACCCTTCAGCCTCTCCTGAACTGCAGAGGCTCAGGGCAGAGAGGCGAAGGGAATTGGTTTCTCCCAGGAGGAGTGCTCGCCTTAAGGCCAGGAGAGGCGGGGCTCCTGGGGGCCGGGGCCGCCCCTGGCCTCAGAGAAGATAAAGGCCAGTCAGCCCGGTCCCAGGTTGCGGGAGCAACGTCGTCATTGAAGAGCTGTTTCGGCCAGCATCCAGTCCTGTGTTCCTGTTCCCCGCCCGGCTTCCTGCTTCTGACCTTCCAGCATTCCTGTTCCCTGCCCGGCTTCCTGCTTCTGATCTTCGAGTGTCCCTGTCCCCGCCCGGCTCCCTGCTTCGGACCTCGCCTCGCACCTTGTGGACTATTACCAGGCTAGTGACTCAGGACTGAACTTTGACTACGGTAACAGTAACCTTCCCCCCGGGACCAGCACAAGAACTAAAACAGGCCAGTGTTTCCTTAAGAACTACCCTCTGAGCCTAATTTATACCCATGGGAAGATATCCATAGAGAAACTGTGGAAAAACCTCAGTCATTTCAACCCTGCTGTTAATTATGAAACAGTCCACATAAGTTCAATTTCTTGGATACTATAGTGCAAGTACATGAACCAATGCAAAAAGCCACCTTTGGAACTGACCTCATCATTAGGCAAATTGAGACTGCTTGCTCAAGTGGTACATAATGGGAGCAGCCAAAGTAGCTTGCCCCTTGCTTCCCAATCCCATGCCTCTTCATTCGCTCTCACACAATGGCCAGATGCAGCAGCAGCAGCAGGCAGCTTCTTTGTCAGTGGGATTCTGATTTCTGCACATTGGAGCATGTCAGAGACCACTGAGATTATGTTGGGTAGCCCCACTCCCACACCCCTCTCCTCAGCATCCATAAACTGGGCAAAAGATGGGAATAGGATTTCTACGCTTGCAGATCCTTCCAGGCCTGGCATAGGCAAACTCGGCCCTCCAGATGTTTTGGGACTATAACTCCCATCATCCCTGACCACTGGTCCTCTTAGCTAGGGATGATGGGAGTTGTAGTCCCAAAACATCTGGAGGGCTGAGTTTGCCTGTGCCTGTTCCAGGCAATTGACAACTCTGCAAGATGAGGGTTCCCAATTGTATGGGATGGTCTACAGGTAACTCCCAACTTGTCAGGGAATGGTCTGAAGATGAGGACTGGGGAATGCATTCTATGGCAGACCAGCTTCTCTCCGATGGAGAGCTGGAGGGGGAAGAGTCGCCCCCCCCCTTTGTCCACAGAGTCCACAGCTTAGGGAGGAATTACCCAGTTACAAGATAATGACAAGAGAACCAGAAGGGAGGGGGCAGCTTGTTGACACATCACTTGAGAGTTTGGGGGGGGACCCCTCACCATGGACTCAGAGGTCCGAACATATCAGAGAGCAAAGGAGTCAGAGGGAGGGACTTCACGTTGGCACCTAAAATTCTGCGGAAGTCAGAAGGATGGTTTAGAGTAGCCAACTGCCCTCTTTGCAGAGAGCTGTGTATTTCTGCTTGTAACCTGATGCTGTAATAAAAAGACTGTAAATATATCAACTGCTCGTTAATTCTTATCCGTGAAGTTACCAAAGGGAGAGGAGGACTCTCCACACCTGACACACATTCAGCTTTACACACTTGGTAAAGTTTGTTTCGTTTTTAATTTAAAGGGGGCAGAAAGCAGGTCAGCATCTGGGGGGAAAGGCTTTGGCAGTCCCACCTGCCATTGAACTCAATGTGTTTGACTATACACTATTTTGGCTTCACACGTGATCCCTGAAAAGTAACCCCAGCATAAGCTGAGAGTTGCATGTACTTTCAGAGGTTGAGAGCAGGGGAGGTTCACACACACACACACACACACACCACCACCACCACCACCACCTCATTTGCTCTGTATGGAGCTGAACACGAGAAGGAATTAATTACAAAACTTTAAGAGACAGGGAACAATCACTGCAACAGGCTCGTTATAATTATTGTATTCCCTGGAAGCCTGCCCTGAATGACAGAGATGGTTTATGAAATGCTACAAATCATCATTGTTCCAACTCCACACAGACTTAATGCAGGTTTAACAACAACAAAATTGGAGCAAAACGAAGTTGAGAGAAGAGGAAAAACAAAGGATGAAGCTGAACTCAACAGCTGCAAGCAGTCTAATATTTCGTAATTTAATTTCACACTCGATAGGAAGTTCAGGAATTGTAGATACGGAAGAGATTGCGCTTTGAAAAAGATGGTGGCTGCAGCATCAAGATCTGAAGTTAAAGGAGAAAAACTGCGTTTTATATAGTTTTTCTCGGCTCATTCAGCCAATGACCCATGAAAGTAAACTCTGGATACATCCCTACCTGCACCCATTCGCCTTGTATCACAATGTTGGGCCTTCTGTGCCATTTTCATTCCTGCCCAGCGGTACACAAGGGGGAGAGTTCAAATTAAATATCTCACCTTTCAGAAAGTTGGCCCTTTTTCTAAGGGTTTTCCAAACCCCCCTCCCAGAGCTTGTATCTCTTTCATGGTCTCGTGATCTCATAAGTTCTGTGGCTGCCCTGTGACCTTCCGACCTTCAACTACATGATTCCTTTCTAAATTGCTCCGTGTTGAGACATCAATGGGGGAATATCAACTTTATTATAAAAGACAGTATTCTCTCCCAAAATGTCAGTCGGCGTGAGTCACTGCACCTGACTGGCAAGCTTTTATAAAACAGGAATAAGGATTTTGAAAAGTACTGTGTCTTATTTTACCCATAGTCAAGTTTCTATGTAAAACACACACACAAACAATATATTCTGGAATCCTCTGCAGCAGCGACTGTCATGTTAAACTCTACTTAGCCACGAGGGAGAAACTCTAGCCTTGAGCAAAAATTACAAGCAATTTAACATTAATGCCATGCTTGAAAGCTACCTTGTAAAGCTGAAGGTAACAATTTGAGATGTGCTAGTAAATTCGACCTACTCTTTTTCCTGGCTTCCCTGTGTTTCTCTCTGTTTTCATAATGCCTGTTCTTGGCAGAAGGGGAATTGGATGTCGACACTTGTTTTAATCTCAAGACTCGGAGGCACGTATCTTTCCGTCTATTGCAAAATCCACCCTTATAAAACATGTATGCTCCTGCTGGAGACATATTTTGGGAAGGGAGAGGGGGAGCAAGAATAGGGAGGGATAATTATATGACACCTGTTAAGAGTCTGTCAGTTGACCATTATGAACATTTGCATCAGAAAGCAGTTATTGCTCTGTGGGGGGAAATGGTCTATGGGCACCAGCAAAATGGAAAGTGAATTCAGGATCAGTAATAAGAGTTAGACAAGGGTTGCCCACTCTGTCTTGCCACAGTTAGGCTTTTCATGCATCTACCTCTTCTTATGCCCAGGCCAAATCCCATCATGCCATCTTTCTAGATCCAAACCAAAAAGCAAGCTAGAAAACCCTAGACCCCTCCCTTATGGCAGGACATCTCTAAAGTGCAAGTTATGGGTGAAAAAAGTTTCATTGATCTTCCTCTAAATACGAGATGGTAATTAGAGACAACTTGATGACCACACATTATGGGACAGTGCTTATTAGAGAAGCTCCATGTGTCTTCTCGAAGAATGTCAGTGGAAATATGCTAAGCAGATGTCAGATAGCATTAGTATTGACTACTAGGCAATGTTACTAATAAGCCAGTACCGTTTGCAACAGGGGTAGTATGACAGACCAAATATGAATGTACCCATTTCAGACTGCATATTTGCACCAGCTAAAGAAAAAACAAGGCATGGAAAAGCTGTTGTGAAAAATTCTCTAACCCTTTTCTCTGTATTTTGCAAGACTGCAACTTTATGGACTCAGCTACATTAGTCAAAAAACAGTGCTTTGAATGTGTTGTACACATGTATCACCAGGTGGTGCTGTACAGCACAAAACTTTTCTATGCAATTTTACATAGTGTTCTTTTCTTTTGTTATAAAGATTAAATATATGACTTATTTATAGCATTTCCCCTTGTAATTATTATTATTAATTAATAATAATAATAATTTATACCCCGCCCATCTGGCTGGGTTTCCCCAGCCACTCTGAGTAGCTCCCAACAGAATATTAAACAGAATAAAACATCAAACATTAAAAACTTCCCTAAACAGGGCTGTATGT